CTACTACTACTACTACTACTACTACTACTACTACTACTACTACTACTACTACTACTACTACTACTTCTACTACTACTACTACTACTACTACTACTACTGCTACTACTGCTACTACTACTACTACTACTACTACTACTACTACTGCTACTACTGCTACTCCTACTACTGCTACTGCTACTACTACTACTACTACTACTACTACTACTACTACTACTACTACTACTACTACTACTACTACTACTACTACTACTACTACTACTACTACTACGTTTAGGACTGACTCGTCTCCAGTCGCTTCAGTAACGCGCGCGTTGAATTACGTTAGAAGCAGTGTTAGGGACTGTGGAAGAGTCAGCGTTTAGGATTGTTATGTCGGACATAGGGTGGAAAGCATAAATAAAATATTGGCTTGCTAATAGAATTTTTACGCTTTCCGCCCTAGACTGAGATTTAGATAAGTAGGTAATAGTCTAATAGGATAGTACTGTGTACTTAGACATTGCGGCTAGGATATAACCTGGTACAATCTGAAACAACAAGGATTACTGAAGGGGTGATGAATACACCCTTGCAAAGTTAAATTCATTCACGCACGAACTACAGTGAAGTGAATATCATTATATTGTCGTAGACAATTTCTAAGTTTACTTTTGTCAACTTTTCACCCGCCTCCTCCCCAGTATTGCATCCATATGGCAGTTGTTTTTTTTAGTTTGTAGGTAGTGATGGCGCAATCTTGCCCTCACCTTTACTGGGCAAAACTGTTTGAGCACATCTTTCATGTGCAATATATATTGGGTCGTTCCAGAAAAGATCCATACCCCCCCCCCACGGAGGAAATTTTTGCTGTCCGAAGGGGGAGGGAGGAAAAATGTCTTAGGATGTCCGAAGGGGGGGAGAGGAAAAATGTCTTAGGATGTCCGAAGGGGGGGAGAGAAATGTGGATATGTTTGTCTGAAGGTTTGAGACTGTGATAAAGCTATGTAATCGGCGATTATAATGAGCACGCAATTTTTATCGGCTATATGTAGCTCTTGAACACCGGAACGTTTATGTAACAGCAATAATTATACGTCCACGTAACTCGTAAGCAAAATAAGAGGCCCACTTTTGCATGCATGGCCACCAAAAACTAACTCGCTGTAACAGTGTATCTTGCATGTTAAGAATGAGTCGAAATTTGACACGCTTTATTTATATAAAAGTAAAGTTTTGCAGTTTTCGTTCGTATATATAAGTTTGAATTATTCAAGTGTTAAAAATAATAGTTATTAAACTGTTGCTCGAATTAAGAGACTGCTATGTGAACTGAACTCAAAATAATTTGTTTTAGTATATAGTCAATAAAGCTTCCTTGCGAGATGCGTGCCTAGAAAATAGAAATGGCTGCCATATTAAGGGCGAGGTTAAGGAATGCAGTAATACTAAAAAATGCATTAACATGTAAGTAAACACAGCAACGCTTGTCAATCAATTACATCGAATTTCAGTCCGAATTTTACTTGATCGAATTTCAAAGTGAATTTCTGCAAATTATTCGACAAAACCTGCCACGTGTTTGTGTTCA